TATCTTTTCATTGAAAAGTCAAGTTTTCTTTCGGAAAAGTATATAAATGCGAAATTTTGAGTTTTTTATCAAACATGCAAAAATTACACTAAATTATTAGAAAATTTAGTCATGAATATATTTTTTCTGCATATTTTGAGAGTGCGTATCAACTTTACTTTGTGTCCATATTTTAAAGAAAAGTTAATGTTATATCTCATCTGTATTGTTTTCTATTTCAGGCGCCACCATTTTTTATTGGCTTTTTCTTAAATTTCTGAGCCTCCAGATACTTGATGTTTTGACCTTCTTTAAGTAATAGTTCTAACCTTAATTTGCAGTTGCTGCAATTAGATAACGATGTTCTTAAATATATTCTGTTTGTAATTACTTTTTAACTTTCTCATTTATCTAAACAACATTCCGCTGGTAAATTATAAATAGTAACATTTTGATGTTTTAATCATGTGAATGTCTAACAATTCTGTTTCTATTACATGTACGACGTGCACATAAGTGTTCATTGTTTCTGTGAACAGGATAGTTTTCCATTAATTGAACGACGGTTGTGTGTCATGTGTCATGTGTCATATTATTGTATGAACTAGAACACCTAGGCAGAGAACCTCAAGGAGTGTCTGTAAATTAGAATATTTTCCTTGTTTTATCTAGAACATCTTGGCAGAGAGCCTCAAATAGTAATGGTTACAAAAGTATTTTCCTTGAAGATGTTCTAGACAGAGAACCTCCTCAAGTGTTCAGCAATTAAACAATCAAACTTTGATGTTGAATACCAAATGCCATAGCTAGCGCGAAGAACGAACAGTAAACACAGACTAAACACTTCCCATAGGTAACAATAATCAACAGTTTACGTTTCTTTACTATCTATTCTCGTACAACTTTTATACGACACACGTCAGAGTAAAATACATACACTTAATCTACAGCGTGAAATACGGACAATTGCCCTACATAATTAAAGAAAACATGTTATCTAAAAAAAAAAGACTTGTTTATTACGTCACACGAACTTTGCCAGTTGTTGTCCTTCATTATACATGTATCTAAATATTTACATTTTGTATTGACGGCAGCATTTACTCATAACTTAGCTTGTTGTAGACTCAGGGCGAGGTAAACTTGGTCTGTGGTTGGAAATTTAGTCGCTGTCCAATTGAAGTATACCACACATCACCTTTTATTCATACACTACATAAATTGAACTATTTCTGTTTTAATTCTTGACAGAATCATTAACCCTTCACAAAGAATGATATTTAATGTGTTATCTGACCAGCTCTACTCCTTTGATAAATTTGTAAACTAATGCTGCACTGATACCCATCCTATTGAAAGCAATAAAAGTTGCAAGTTTTTGTAATTAAACCACATAAAAGATGTTATCCAATCAACTTTGATTCTTCTATACAGTGGATGGTGATAAGTTGTCAGTTTTGATGTCAATAAAATTGAAACAAGTTTCGTTTTAAATAGTTCATCAAATTATACAACGAAGAAGTGTACCTACAACTGACACGTTTCTGCTTAAAACGTTTTTTTTTCTACTTGAAAAACAAGTCAGGGATTTCGTTACCACATTTTACTTTAAAACTATATAAAATTTATTTCAGAGATACGAACATTTGGTTCGGAAGAACTTGTAGAAACTCATTACAAACTGCATATCACATTCAAATTATTACGGTGATGTTGCTAAAAGAGCATGTCATTTTAGATATAAGAGTCACATTGATTTTACTTTTGAAAGTATAATTCAGTTTTGTTTTTCTTTGTTGACATAGTTGTTTGTTTTATATAGTGATTAAGATTATAACACAATGTTGACTGCTGTATCCATATTTTTGACATTTTTACCTATTATGTCTGTTTGTTTTGTTCACACATTGTTGTCAATATAATGGATTTTTATGCGACTGTCATACAAGTGAGAGGTTTAGCTAGCTATAAAACCAGGCTTAATCCACCATTTTCTACATTAGGAAATGCCTGCACCAAGTCAGGAATATGACATTTGTTTTCCATTCGTTTGATGTGTTTGAGCTTTTGATTTTGCCATTTGATAAGAGATTTTCCGTTTTTTGAATTTTCCTTGGAGTTCGGTTATTGTTATTTTACTTTTTTCATAACTAAATATGTCTGACTTTCCAGCTTTGAACACTTACGGTTCTTCATCCTGTTAAGTGACTTATATTTGGAACTGCACAAGGTCATGCTTCTTTCAGATTGTTTAAGACGTCTTTACACTGAATCTATATTTTCATGGTAATCATGGTTTATTTAAATCAATATTTGAAATTGGTCCTTGTACTAGCTTTCAGTAACTGCGAGTGGGTCTTTGTGTCGTTTTTTGTTCATAGTTTTTAAGAATATTATCGGTCTTTTGATTCAAGCCAATATCAACTGGTTTTTACAGATTGTTCTTATGCTGTAACATCAATGTCCAGGCTAGAGTTGAGTCCTCTCAGTCATGTTTAACACCACAACATTCTGTAAGTCTTTGTCTCAAGTAAGGAGCCTGTAATTTAAGGGTTATTGATATTTGTTGTCTGCCATAATTGTTTTCCGTTTATTGTTTGTAGCATAAATCAGTGAGTTGAATTTTTTCTTTAGAACTGTTTCACATGTTTTCATGCCGGGGCCTTTATATCTTTTTGTACGGTATGGGTTTCCGCTTGGTGATGGCCGAACGGTGATTGTAGTTGTTTAATCCGCGTCATTTGGTCTCTGGTGGACAGTTTCTCATTTACAAGTACATGTACCAAGTCAGGAATATGACAGTTGTTATATGAAAATGTTTAGTTGTTGACGGGCAGGATAATATTTAGTTGTTGACGGGCAGGATAATGTTTAGTTGTTGACGGGCAGGATAATGTTTAGTTGTTGACGGGCAGGATAATGTTTTCCACTTGTTCCGTTGCTTGGTAACATTTGATTTTGTCAGTTTTTATGAACTTCCCCTTTTTGAACTTGACTTGGAGTTCGGTATTTTTGTTAAACATTTTTTTTTGAAACACACCATTTCTCCTTATTGTTATATGCTACAGAATTAGGAAGAATATATATTATTCTAATTGTGCCCGAATCGGAGGAAATATGTCCTCGGACTATTTTTCTAAACAAAAGAAAACAAAAAACCTATTTAGAATCTGAATAAACACCCTTGATCTATTTTCAAAAGAATTGCAAATAACATTAATTTACAGAAAAATGTTAGCATAATTCAGTAAGGTTTTTTTCCCAGGACTTGGCAGTTAAACCATAAAAAATGACATGATTTAATGAGCTACGATTCTTCTAGACAGTCAATAGTCATGTGGTTACAATTTTGATGACAGTTATAGCAAAACAATTAACATTTCTATACTAAATTGATTATCAAAAGTTACTGAGGGAAATGAACCAACGCCTGGTTGATTGTGGTTTAACGCTTAAACTCCTCCAGCAGGATAATGAGAAAGTCTATACTACACAAGTTTTACGGTTATCATCACGAATTCACCTCAAGAGTGAAATATTTAAGCGGTCTTAGATTTTTAAAAGACATCAAAATATTCGTCTGATCTTTAAATTTACCGATTGTGTCGTATTCCCAAATCTGAGTCTAGATTTGCATGGTCGGTGATGCTTGCATACACATACTCTGTCGACGCACCCGATCTCGTTCCGTTCATGCGATTCTGTCAGAGTGTTTTTTTCTCTTGGTTTGTATTTTCAAAATGGGTTAACGAGTTTGCACATCAGGGATCTGCTTGTCAATATTTTCACAATGAACTGTATATGTATTATCTCCATGCGAAATAAATACATTGGTTCTCTCAATTTATTATCGGTCACTGACATAATCTCAGATAGATAAGAGAACCATTGCAGTATTTAAAACGAGAATTGAATTTAGTTATGATATGATTGAGACCTAATGCTATCTTCACCCCCCCCCCCCCCCCCCCCTTTCCCCCTTTTAATGCATGATAGTCGCCTGTATTGAAAACGCGATCTATGATGTTGTGTTTAAAAATCAACATCACTGACATCTTTGTTTTTATTATTATGTAATATTCTATGGATTTTATATATCTTTCCGTAATTATAATTACCGAAACTTTCAAATAATTATCGATGAAAGATTAAACTTTTGTTTAGATTTTGTTATCGAAGATTTCTTTTTTTTAACGGAGGTATTAGAAAGTTATATTTTTTTTATAAAAAAAAATGAGTATATTTACTCTACTCACATAATGAATAGTTTACCTTAGCTGTAATTGGCAAAACCTTTCGGAAATTTGGAACTTCAACTTCGTACTTCATTTGGTCTTTTTACCTTTTTTGATTCGAGCGTCACTGATGAGCCTTTTGTAGACGAAACGCACGTCTGGCGAACAAAATATAATCTTGGTATCTATTACGAGTCTATTCAAATGCAGGCCGTTTGTCATAATTAACAAACTTCAGACGAAAAAATCATTTTACAGTTTGTTAAATCATATATTTAACAACACTCTTGCTTAAAAAGGTAATTTTACATCTTTGTACAAAACATCTTGCGGCAAACATATCTTAGGATAAAAGCAGTTGCATATTCAAATTCTAATGAAGAAATGTCATTATGAGACAAATTTTGTATTTTTACAATGTCTCAATTCTTTGATTTAAGGAGAGGGATAGAGATAATTTTTTTGACATCACTCTAGTACAAAATTAGTCTCCAATCAGTTTCAGCCCCTTTAAATGTACATAAATAGATAAATGACGATTTCAGTAGTTCAGTGAATATACATAAGCGTTTTATACAGGGGAAATTCAGTTTTTTCACTTTGTGATCTTACTCTATTTAAAATTACCTGAGTAGAAATACCAAACACTCTATTTTCGCTTTATTGTATTTGATACTTGTATTTTTGTACTCGATGAAATGCATGTATACCAGCTTTACAGGATAACGGACATTGCAAATATATAATAGTACCTTCTTAACTATTTAACTATTGTTATTTTTTTAGTGTGTCAGTGTGCTAGTATCTGTGGTGACCTTGACTGCTATATCAGTTGAACGATACTTAGCTATCTGCCGACCATTGTCTTTCCGAGGCTCCAGGTTCCGAACAGCCCTTGCTGTGCTGATTATATGGATACTTTCCCTAGTGTCTTCGTGTCCATATCTGGTTTTTATGACATCAATTCATGATGATTTAGTTCCTGCATCAATTGTATTGCTAACAAGTTGTGTATCATCCGATTTCAACCAAGAATACATATTCCAGATATTTTTGATGGTGGTGTTTTTCCTGATTCCATTCCTTATAATGACATATACATACATTCGCATCGCTTTATGTTTATGGAGAAGCAGCACATCCGGTTCTGTTGCACTAGGTAAGTATGACTGGTGTACTTAAATTCATATTTATGAAAAATAACACAACAGGAAAATTTTGACCTTACAGACTAGATAATAATCGAAGCGAGCGAGTATTTGCTACACGTAAGAAGCACACATGTCAAAAATCACGATCGAGATGACATCAACGCACTATTCATTGATGGTACTATGTTAGTTTATACATAAACATGAAAAGCATATTCTACTATTTATTGATGGAACTGTTTTAGTCTTTAGATAAACCTGGAAAGCATGGCCTACTATCCATTGATAGTGCTATGTTAGTGTATACATTAACTTGGAAAGCATATCATATTCATTCATTGATGATATGTTAGTTTACAAATAAACCTGGAAAGTATATTCTTCTATTTATTGATGGTACTTTGTTAGTCTACACATAAACCTGGAATGTATATCCTACAATTTATCGATGATGCTATGTTATTCTCTAGATAAACCTGGAAAGCATATTCTTCAGTGTATTGATGTTTCTATGTTAGTCTATAGATAAACCTGGAAAGTATATCCTTCTATTTATTGATGGTACTTTGTTAGTCAGAATATAACCCTTAATGTGGGTATATTACTTCTTAGAAGAAAATAAAAAAATATTGAGAAATGTATTACCTCTCATCATCCTAACAAAAGAAGAGAGTTATTTCAGGCATGTGTTATCTATCTGTCTTACTGTTTGCCATTAGCGTTTTGGAAGATCAATTAAGAAAACTAAAACTATATATCTTCATTTTTATGTTCCGAATGTGTCATAAAGACAGACACTTTTTGAGGTTGTTGCGTTCTAGCTGACTGCAAAGTTATATTTGTACATTATTTGACATTAGACTTTTATAACAACATTCCTACTTACACACTTAAGGCATATATTTTATCAAATGAGTTATAATCCTTATTTCTGTGGTAATATACTGCATGTACATGGAGAAGGCGTCTTCGCCATTAGCTCAATGAAAACAGCTATAACAGTACCGTTTAAAAGTTTAATTGTTAAATGATCATTTTCCAGTACACCACTGGATAACCCAGAAATTGGCCTCTATAACGGTACAAATTAATGCAACAGATGCACATATTGACAATGAAAGACTCTTCAGTGATGTTCGAGGCCAAAATATTTCAAAATCCCAAACTTATAAACCAATAGTTAAAGCTACACCACATATTTATTATTTTTCTATACAAATAAATGTACAGATTTTGTCTTGTGTGATAAGTGTTATCGGTGATACACGAGAAAAAAGGCCGGGATTGTGTCTATTGCAATAAAAAGGCAATCGTTTTGATTGATAGATTGGTGTTTAACGCCACTTTAATCATTTTTGTGCTGTTTCGTGGCGGTCAGTTTTTATTGGCGGAGGAAGCCTGAGGGACCGGAGAGAACTACCGACCATCGGTTGGAAAACTTACGATCCTAGTCAATTAATGTTGGAGTCGAACACACCAGCCACGTGCCGGATTCGAATTCACAACCTCAGTGTTGACAGGCTAGTGATGCAGTAGTTCGACTACTTAGACCACTCGGCCAGCGAGGCCCATTCTTGATAGTGTAAATTTCAGTACAGTACAATTGGTGGACATTATTCTATTAATGAAACAAATTTGAAATAATGCTTTTAACCTGTTTGAAGTTTGAAATCAGGAATATTCGTGTAAAGTTTAAAGTGTGGGGAAAAATCAAATGTGTGTGTACTATTTCACGAGAAGACGGACTTCGATTGTATGTACCTAACAGATTTAAGAAATCATATTTTTTTAAATTAATGAAATTATGAGGAAAAAAGGCGAAGATAAACACTATCAGACCATATCTAGAACCAACAATGTTATTTTTGTTTTGATGAATGTTGTTAAGCATCAAAGTAAAAGGTTTCCTATCTTAAGTAGCGAGAAAAGATTTTATGATTTGGTTATCAATTCCACGATATTTTATTTATTAACTAATGTGAGCTAGCTACAGATAAATATTTCCGCAACAACAAAAATATTCCATTTAATTTAATAGCTATCAAGAGAAATCTTTCAATTATAAATTTGATACCATAAAGGGTTTTTGATGTTAAATAAAATTATCTAATAATAGAAATCAGTTCTTTTTTCCAATTTCAGAAGTTTAAAGTCAATTAACTTCAAAGATTTGAAGTTTGATATTTCCAAACAGATTTGAACTTTCGCCAATAGATCGAGATTGATTGTTTGTTTTATTCCCTTTTGTGATAAAGTGAAATATAAGTTGTAATTATTTAAATGACATGTGCATAAGATTAGTATTCATATGTTGAATAACTTTTAAATCTCAAACAGTTTGTTAAATGCAGCGTTTCAAATGATAATTGTAGTGTGTAACCTTTTACAAATAACACATTTAATTAAGGTATTATTTTCTAAAGGAGTTCTTCAAAAAATCCTTTCCTAAAACAACAACAAAATAATAATGAAATATAGATATAAGCAAATAATGTTGGATAATGTTTAAATAGTTAAGTCACACAGTCTCCTTTGAAATAATCATTTTAATGCAAAGCTTGCATATGTGTGCAGCTTTTTTTTGTACTTGAAATATGACTTTTTAAAAAATATTTGACTTTGTCTGGGACAGATCTCGTCTTTTGGTGTACACGCGAGTATTGTTATACCCAACATTCTATGTATAATAGATGAACATTGTTTTTCATAAAATTCAATACACATTAATTTATATCTAGTCATATATTAGTATATTACATAAAAAAAAAATTCTCGACATTATGTCTTTATAATAGGTAGCGGATACCGAACCAGTAGAATGCGATGTTGGGTATAGGTTCCATAAGACATCAACCCAAAACACAACATGTTTTGGTCTGACATGATTTATTTATTAGTTGTAAATGGCTTTGGACTAGCATTCAGTAACTGAGAGCATTCTTAGATCGGTACTTTGTTGAACTAGCATTCAGTAACTGCGAGTACTCTTAGATTGGTACTTTGTTGAACTAGCTTTCAGTTTATGCGAGTACTCTTAGATCGGTACTTTGTTGAACTAGCTTTCAGTAACTGCGAGTACTCTTTGATCGGTACTTTGTTGAACTAGCTTTCAATAACTCTGAGTACTCTTAGATCGATTCTGTGTTGAACTAGCTTTCAGTAACTGCGAGTACTCTTTGATCGGTACTTTGTTGAACTAGCTTTCAGTAACTCCGAGTATTCTTAGATCGATACTGTGTTGAACTAGCTTTCAGTAACTGTGAGTACTCTTAGATCGGTACTTTGTTGAACTAGCTTTCAGTAACAGCGAGTACTCTTAGATCGGTATTTTGTTGAACTAGCTTTCAGTAACAGTGAGTTCTCTTAGATCGGTACTTTGTTGAACTAGCTTTCAGTAACTCCGAGTACTCTTAGATCGATACTGTGTTGAACTAGCTTTCAGTAACTGTGAGTACCCTTAGATCGGTACTTTGTTGAACTAGCTTTCAGTAACAGCTTTGTGTCGATCTGATAATTCAAGCCTTTCTCAAATTATTCTTACAGTTCGTTCTTAACTTGTGATATTGTACCAGTGTCATAGGTTAGGGGAGGGTTAAGAGAAGGGTTTAACTCCGCCCAATTCTGTAAACCTTTCCCAAGTCAGGAGCCTGTAATTCAGTGCTTGTCGTTGTATGCTGTCAGTCATACCTCTTTTTTGTTTGTTTGTGTATATATTATAAAAAATCCAGAGGTCGAGACAAATCTTAAGCAGTGATATATAAGTGTAAGGAACAATGGCAACAAACGTATAAAACTGCCAACATACAAAATTGAAGCCTTTTGGTAATGCGATTTCCCAGCAAAAACCGAGAGGTGTTCCGGGTAAGCCTCTCAATATAATACCGACAGTAACTTCAACTTTTACATGATTTGTTAACGATATGCACCCCAAATAAAGTCGTTCTGTTTAAATAGCATACGGACTATGTACATTTCTATTATCTATATATGGAAGTATTAATGTATTTCCATTGAATTGGTTCATGCACATGTCCGTTTATAATTTTATTTGTCTTCCAGAAACTCTACGAATGTGTCTCCATCGTTCAATGTCCTCTTGATACTATATTTTTTAGTCTCAATAATTCAATGTCCTCTCGATACTATATTTTCTAGTCTCGATAATTTAATGTCCTCTCGATATTATTGTTTTGTTTCTCGATTTTTTATTATCCTTTAGATTCTAATTTTTTATTCGTCTCGATCGTTTATTGCCCTCTTGATACTATTTTTAAATTGTCTTGATCGTTTATTGCCTTCTTGATACTATTCTTTAATTGTCTTGATCGTGAACTGTTTCCCTGTTATATAGAGGGTTCATTGGTTACTATTGCTTTGTATTTCCCTGTTATACAGAGGGTTCGTTGGTTACTATTGCTTTGTATTTCCTTGTTATATAGAGGGTTCAACGGTTACTATTGCTTTATATTTCCCTGTTATATAGAGGGTTCACTGGTTACTATTGCTTTGTATTTCCCTGTTAGATAGAGGGTTCACTGGTTACTATTGCTTTGTATTTCCCTGTTATATAGAGGATTCATTGGTTACTGTTGCTTTGTATTTCCTTGTTATATAGAGGGTTCACTGGTTACTATTGCTTTGTATTTCCCTGTTATATAGAGGGTTCACTGGTTACTATTGCTTTGTATTTCCTGTTATATAGAGGATTCATTGGTTACTGTTGCTTTGTATTTCCCTGTTATATAGAGGGTTCATTGATTACTATTGCTTTGTATTTCCTTGTTATATAGAGGGTTCGTTGGTTACTATTGCTTTGTATTTCCTGTTATATAGAGGGTTCATTGGTTACTGTTGCTTTGTATTTCCCTGTTATATAGAGGATTCATTGGTTACTGTTGCTTTGTATTTCCCTGTTATATATAGGGTGCATTGGTTACTGTTGCTTTGTATTTCCCTGTTATATAGAGGATTCATTGGTTACTGTTGCTTTGTATTTCCCTGTTATATAGAGGGTTCATTGGTTACTATTGCTTTGTATTTCCCTGTTATATAGAGGGTTCGTTGGTTACTATTGCTTTGTATTTCCTGTTATATAGCGGGTTCATTATTTTGTATCTTTTGTTAAACAAGTGTCAGTTTTGATCAGGGGGGTTTAGCGATTTACATATTATATAGACAATGGTATTATGCCGAAGACCATTTGCAAACCTTCAAAATTCTTTGTTGGTTTCTTTCTTGTGTGTGTGTTGTTCTATAGCCATGTTTAGAACTGCTAAAGCTTAGATAGGATGATAAGAGACAGTAATTTTGGTATTACTTTCGAGACTTTTGCATAGGAAAAACTGTATAAGTTATTCTCATTTTCTTCGAGATGATTCGACTCTCTTAAGCAACAACACACATCTGCAATCAAACGCCATCTTCAAGCTGTAAACCACATGAGTACTGTCTAGTCATGACTGATATCAACGAAGTAGACTAGTTGTCTGATGATCAAACACCAATTACTTGTGCCAAATTCTCAACGGACAAACAAAAACTGATAGCGAGAGCCACCAGCGAGATTCCTCAATAAGATTCCTCACTATTTGTTATATAATCCACGGTTACAAAAAGCAATTCATCAAAGAGCATGAAAACTTCCTTACATATGATGTTCCGTTTGAGAAAATAATGAACAGATAAATCTTTATCTTAACTATAGACATCATAAATGAATTATAATGTGTTTGTAAGCAGTTACATAATTTTTAATGTAAATTATTGTCATTTCAGATAGTAGATCGGCAGCAGCAACGATACAATCCCGAGCGAGAAGACGAACTGCCCGGATGTTGATCGTTGTAGTTATTGTGTTTTTTATTTGCTACATTCCTGTTTATTTGAGTAATATATTCAGGTAAGGTTATCAGTACAGAAGGGTCACGAAGGGTCAACTTCGGCCTGTAAATAAAAACAGAATTAAGATAATAAATAGATTTAGTAATTATCAAAAGTGTTTATTAAACAAATATATATATAAAAGAAAACCTTTTAACTCTGGCTTGGTATATTTCTCGGATTTCGATTGGCTAACGACACGTCGTTAAAAAAACCATAGCCCCGGGTGTTTTTAACCCATTTACCCAGACGTTGTTACCTATTACCCCCACATGGCAACATTTTGAGTTCTTTGCAAATTTGCATAGCGGCCATATTGCCATATCATTATGTAAGTCATTATAATAGGATAATACATGTCCAAACAATTAATACTATGTAAATTAATATGCCAATTTCTATGCCATCAACAATTTGTCCGCATATAGGTTAATTGTACATCTGTTTTGCCTTCTGTTCGTGTACAAATGAATATTGTCTACTTGAAAATTTTCGGTCTTTTCAGTTTGAAAATCGGAAGCATAACCGTAGTATAATTGCTATCTAACGAAAATTCGTAAAAAAGCAAGATTCAAAATAGAAGATATCAGAAGAAATTTTTCATGATTTGTCCGCATATACGGAAACATCTTGCAGTTTGCATTTTTAGCGTAAAAAACTTTTATCTCACCTGTTTTCTTGAGTTTTGGACCAAATTCTCTTAAAGACATGATGATTTCATCCTTCCTATGTCGTAAATAGTCAAATTTTAAGCAGTTTTCTTAGAATTACTCAACCGATTTGTAAATATCTGCCAAAGGAAGTTTTCAAAGACACGTTAGTTTTATATCCAAGACAGAAAAAGACTTGATTATCCGCAAATTTGATATGATTTACGTTTTTATATTTACAACTAAGGGAAGTAATTTAATCAGGGGGCAAAAGTTACGTGGTGTAAATTATATGAATAAAGAACCAATGATTTTGCCATATGCGGGCAACATCACGCGAGTTTTCTTTAGTTTCGTTGTTGTTCCCAGTGCAAAATTGAATTCTATAGATTATCCATGATGTCTGTAACTAGATATGTAATTCACTAACAATTATATCCTTTAATGCCGATAATTGTCATTCATTTTTAAAAATGCATCACTTGGCTACCACGTCGTCAATGAATGGGACTAGTTATGCATATGACCCACGTTGACGTCAAGCGTGTCTATGACGTAACGCTCGCGACATCTCGAGCCAAGTTTGATTTATTATAGTTTCTCTGCCTCTGGATTAAAAGCGTCTTATATTTGACTACATGTAGGGTTCTACCAAAGGCAGTACCATACACCCCTTAAAAAAATTTCTAATTTCCAAATTTAATAAAACCTTTTTGAATAATAAATAATATGTTGCTTTCACGTTACACCTTGTGCTCGAATTTCCAAGTAAATCGCTCAATTTGGACTAAGATCGGGGATACATTCTTGATGTAGATAACTTATAGTATTCACAAAGTCATCATGTTTGGCAAGATTTTTTACGGATGAAGTATAATTGTGACGTCATTATTGCGCTTTTGATGACAAGAATCATAACTTTGTCCACGTGTATCCTAAAGTTAGTCTGAATTCTCCTGATTTTTTGTGAATATTTGAAATATCAAATCAGTAACAGATGTCAATTTGGTTCTGTTCATCATTTAACATTCAATTATGTTTTTCATTTATTTAGTTTTTTTTATTAACAGCAAAAAAAGGACAACTTCATGTTTAAAATGTAACATTGAAATGCTTATTAATTTTCATTCAATGAGTGTCACTTGTTTTCCTTTCCTAAAATCTATTTATTAATGAATACTTGACATATTCAATCAGTACCCGATGTCAAGTCGATTCTAGTCAACATTCAATATTCAACAATCAATTATTCTGTTTTCAATGTTCATATTTTCAACATTCGATCTCAACAGTTAACATTCGAAATATAGCATTCAATGTTCAATGTTCAACATTCAACATTAAAAAAACTGTATTTCTTTGTCTACATTCGATTCCAACTTTCAACTTTTAACATTGAATTTTCAATATCCGATATATAAATTCAACATTCAACATTCAATTATCAACATTCAATTTCATCATTCAATTTTCAACTTTAAATTTTCAACGTTCAATTTTCAACATTCAAAAAGACAGCCGAAAGATACCAAAGGGACATTCAAACTCACAAGTCGAAAATAAACTGACAACACCATGACAAAAAAAAGACCAAAAGACAAACAACTGTACACAAAACACAACATAGAAAACTTAACATTCGATTTCAATATCCAACATTCTTTTTTTGTACATTCAACATTCAACATTTAGATTTTTTCCCCTTTTTTCAACATTCGATTAAAACTTTCAACATTCAAATTTTCACCATTCGATTTATAAGATTCAACTTTCAATTTTCAACATTCAATTTTCAACATTCAACATTCGTTTTACAGCCCTCAACATTCGTTTTTCAACTTTAAACGTTTGTAAATTCCGTTTTAAATAAGGACCGGTTTGATACCATCAGTTGCAGTTGTTTTTATTGTGTCGGTATATGACACCATTTTGTTTCCATTTTGGCCTTCTTCGTTTGATTTTTCCATTGTTTTGATATTTTAGAATACGTCTGGATTTTTTGTAAGCAACACATGTCTGTTATTGAATTTACCAGTCAAGATATAAGATCTTTGCTGATTATATATCTGTCCGATTAGTACCCAATACCTTTGTAAAGGTTCGTAACTCTACCTTTAAATGTTAGATATTGAAAATTTGAATAATGAATATTGACATCGAATGTTGAAAAAAAAACTTTTGAAAAAAAAAAAAATTTAAATGTTAAAAACGAATGGTAAAAAAAGGCAACAGTATTTTACCGCTGTTCAATAGTCATAATTCGATTAAGCAAAAACAAATCCGAGTAACAAACCAAAACCGAGGGAAACACATTAAGAGGAAAACAACAGAACAACAGAAACACTGAACTACAACAAAAGCAAACGTCAACATACATAGAAACGGACTGTCTGATCACAACTGCCATATTCCTGAATGTGTATGTAAATGCTGAATGTTGAAAAACGAAATTGAATGTTGAAATCGAATGGTGAATGTTGATAAACGAATGTTGAATATTGAAAAACGAATGTTGGATATTGAAATTGAATGTTGAATTTTGAAATCGAATGATGAATGTTGAAAAACGAAAGTTGAATGTTGAAAATATGAAAATTGAAAAAAAATTATTAAATTTAAAAAAAAATTATTTAAAGAAAATGTTGGGTTTTCTTTAAAGAAAAACAAAATTTAATGTTGAATATTGATCCAACTTGACTTCAGTCAATCAGTTAAACAACTAACCAAGAATTTAGAAATCATACATGTCCCGCTTGTTTTGTTTGAGTATTGATTCATATAAATCAGTCTTTTGAGTTATTTTTGCATGTTACTTTGTTTGAAACTCCTGAATGTATCATATTTGCCTCTTAGAAATGATCTTAAGCTGCTTGACAACACGTTAGTAAAGTGGCGTCACACATTCTTTTGCCCACTACTACGGGCATTTTAAGGGTGTATCGTATTGTCAAACTATCATAGTATGTTCCAATAGATTATTTCATTTATCGTTTTCAATATCAGAGTTGATAACTTCAATTACATCATTATTATACTAGCAAAGTAGTTTTTAATATGTTGTATAAATAAAGAACATTGAATAGTCACTGCAATCAACGAAATAAACAATATCAAATTTCTGTACCCAAGCACATGAAAGCAGAAGGCGAAAATCTTGGCCATTGTCGACCTGTAGAAGGATATCAATAATATTTTTGTTATGAGAATTATCTCACTTAAAAATGTGTTCCTCATGTGGTTCATATTACCATTCACTAGGTATAGTCTGACCATAGAAGTAAAATATAATAATTCCATCATCTGACTTATTTTTTGTCACGTTTTCTCAATGACCGCAATTAAGATCGATTTCTTAGTTTAAATAATTCGAGTTAAAAAAAAATGAAATATTACACAGGTGGTCAAGACAAACTGCGTTCTGTATCATGAAAATTCAGATTGCGGGTTAAAATGACTGTCACCGTCGCATCATCGTACAATCATTTTTATTCATAGTTTTTTTTCAAATTGTCACGGAGACTGTAATAACATAAGGTAGCTAGGTTTCCCCGCCACATCGGATCGATAAGTCAATATATAGTATCAGGAGTAATCGCACGGGCACTGTCATAATATAAGGTATAAAATTGAGAATGGAAATGGGGAATGTGTCAAAGAGACAACAACCCGACCATAGAACAGACAACAGCAGAAGGTCACCAACAGGTCTTCAATGCAGCGAGAAATTCCCGCCCGGAGGCGTCCTTCAGCTGGCCCCTAAACAAATATATATACTAGTTCAGTGATAATGAACGCCATACTAAACTCCAAATTGTACACAAGAAACTAAAATTAAAAATAATACAAGACTAACAAAGGCTAGAGGCTCCTGACTTGGGACAGGCGCATAAATGCGGCGGGGTTAAACATGTTTATGAGATCTCAACCCTCCCCCTATACCTCTAGCCAATGTAGAAAAGTAAACGCATAACAATACGCACATTAAAATTCAGTTCAAGAGAAGTCCGAGTCTGATGTCAGAAGATGTAACCAAAGAAAATAAACAAAATGACAATAATACATAAATAACAACAGACTACTAGCAGTTAACTGACATGCCAGCTCCAGACTTCGATTAAACTGATTGAAAGATTATGTCTTCATCATATGAATATCAGGCACAATCCTTCCCGTTAGGGGTTTAGTATCATACCATCATATAGCTATGTTTCCCCGCCATATCGGATCGTTACGTACAATATAATAAAGCTCAAACAATCATCGCACGGGTACTGTCATATCATTAGGTAGCTATATTTCCCCGCCATATCGGATCGTTACGTACAATATAAAGCTCAAACAGTCATCGCACTGGCACTGTCATAACATA